CACCGCCGCCGGCGCCGCAGCGACCGCTGGCCCTGCCCCCCTCGCAGCAGCAGCAGGTGCAACAGGTGCAGGTGCAGCAGGTGCCATCGCTGGCCGATCTGAGCGTGGGCGCCTCCAGCAACAACGAGATCTGGTCATCGCCCGTCCAGGACATGCCCAAGATCGTCTCGCTGGACGTGAAGTGCGAGAAGAACGGCATGAAGGTGTTTGTCCAATTCGACAAGCCCTTCAATGGCATCGTCTTCTCCAAGGGCCACTACAGCAACATCAACTGCGTCCATCTGCCCTCCGGTCTGGGCCGCAGCTCGGCCAGCTTCGACATTGGACTGCACGAGTGCGGCACCGCCGGCAACACGGACAACTACAATCAGGGCTACGGTCACGATGCCGCCGGCAGCGCCGGTGCCGGCACCTACTTCGAGAACATCATTGTCATCCAGTACGATCCGCAGGTGCAGGAGGTGTGGGATCAGGCGCGCAAGCTGCGCTGCACCTGGCACGATCAGTACGAGAAGAGCGTCACCTTCCGACCCTTCCCGGTGGACATGCTGGATGTGGTGCGTGCCGATTTCGCTGGCGACAATGTCGGCTGCTGGATGCAAATCCAGGTGGGCAAGGGCCCCTGGGCGTCCGAAGTGTCCGGTCTGGTGAAAATCGGACAAACGATGACCATGGTGTTGGCCATCAAGGACGACGACTCCAAGTTCGATATGCTGGTGCGCAACTGTGTGGCCCACGATGGCAAGCGGGCGCCCATCCAGCTGGTGGATCAGCGCGGCTGTGTCACCCGTCCCAAGCTGATGTCGCGCTTCACCAAGATCAAGAACTTCGGCGCCTCCGCCTCGGTGCTGTCGTACGCCCACTTCCAGGCCTTCAAGTTTCCCGATTCGATGGAGGTGCACTTCCAGTGCACCATACAGATCTGTCGCTACCATTGCCCGGACCAGTGCAGTGCCGAGACCAATCTCCAGGACGTTCACCATCTGCAGGTGGGGCCCGAGTCCCAGTACGGCCCGCCGCCCCAGCTCCATGGCGATGCGTATCATGTGGCCAGCGCGATCGGCAAGCGGCGGGATGAGCGACGCGTCCAGCGGCGTGCTCGCGCCGTGGCCGACTCCACGGAGCAAGTGGGTCTCAATCGCATCATCAAGGTGGTGTCCTCCGGCGACCTGACCTTTGCCATTGACGAACAGGCGGCTGCCGGTGCCGGCAGCAACAGCAGCACCGCCCTGCCCCAGACGATGGTATTTCCGCTGCGCGAGGAGGGGCTCATATGCATGACTACGCCGGGCTTTGCCATAACGCTGATCGTGCTGCTGGGCATACTGGTGACATCGTGCCTAATCTCCGCCGTGCTGTACGTCCGACTGCGACCCTTCTCCAGCTTCGCGGCCAAGGAGTGCGCCGTCGCCTTCACGAATCCCCAGCTCGCCGCCGGCCCACTGCCCGTCATCCATCTGCCAACGCCGCCCGAGGCGCTGGCGGGCACGCTCTCCAAGAAGCGATCGCTATCATGAGCGCAACGCGTCCCATTCACAGACACGCCCACGTAATACCCCAAAAGCATTTCAGATTGCACTAGTTTAGGCCATGGAATTAGCTAATTGTCTAATAATTACATAATGCCTCTGCCCAGTTGTCTCTCTCTCTCTCTATCTCTCTCTCTCTCTATCTGTCTCACTCTCTATCTGTTTCTACAACTTGCTTAGGCTTTCTACCTCCCTCCCTCCCTTTCTCTCTCTCTCTCACTCTCTGTTGGTGGTCGGTCAATTGAAAAAGAAAAAAAAAACAAAAAATCAGATTTAACACAATTTAAAATATATGCTCTAGTTTAAGCCTAGGTTCTATTTTAAATCGGTGCTAAGCCAATGCTCACAGTTCAAATATTTATGCCCAATCTGGCAACGCTCTCTCTCTCCCTTCCTCACTCTCTCTGTCTCTCTCTCTCTCTCTCTCTCTCTCTCTCTCTCTCTCTCTCTCTTGCTGTACTGTCTGAGCTTGTTTCGTTTACAGTTAACAGTAGCTGTTAAGCGCGCTGTTAACTTTAACATTAGCATACTCTCTCTAGGACTATTCTTAACATTTATGCTTACAATATGCTTATACCTATATATACACACACACACACACACGTAGGCACGTACACACGTGCATGTGTGTGTGTGTGTGTATTTCAATTAGTCACTAAATATTTTAAGTGCTTTAAACTTAGTCTAAGCTCCGAACTTGATTCGATTTTTTGACTCCATAGATCCATCGATCCGTCGATCCTTCGAACCTTGATTGCATCTTGTTAATTTAAAATATATTTATATTTATATACTTATTTATTGAATTATTTATTGAATTTATTTATTGATTTATCTATGGATTTATCGTACCATCTAGTTGTCACCCACATCCAACATTCAATTTGTTTACGATGAGTATTTTTTTTTTTTTTTTTTTTTTTTTTTTTTTTTTTTTTTGTTTACTTTTACTTTAATTGTAGAGAAGGAAACTAAGCTAACAGAAATGTTCAGTAAATCATCAATAACAAAACAAAACAAAAAAAATGATAATAAAAACAAATATATATATTACAAATCTAATCGAATTCCTTAGATGAATAACACAAATGCCCGAGTGTACGAGCACTTACCTAACCTTCATATCAATTCATATCTATTTACTTACTTACGACATGTACGAATTACAAATACAGCTTTGCATCTATATACGAGCAAGACCAATAAACGACAATTATAAAAAAAAAAAAAAATACGACTTGGAAAATTTCTTTAAATTTGTATTTTTATATGTTCCAGTTTGAGAAAGTAGAGTCCAGAGATTTTTGGTTATACTTTGAGCTAAAATTTGTGCTAATATATTCAAATATAAAACACAGAAGAAAACAAAACTTGCTCTATTAAATTTAATTCTCCAGCTTAATTAGCGATTTTGGTATACCTACGCCCTCTCCCTCTCTCTCTCTCTCTCGCTTGCAGCAACAGTCTTTCACCAGATCTTATCTCGCTCACAAATGAAAGTTTCACAAGCATTTCCAAATATTTCAAATGCATCGAAACTTTGAAGGGCCAATAAAAATGTTGAAACACACAGATCGCATTCCCCCTAGTATTTCTGGTAAGTGCCAAAGCGAGTCAGTCGAAACCTGAATAAACTTCACATTAAATAGAGAGCGTGGAGAGTGGACCGATTCACCCAGATGTAAACTTATTGATTTTATTAAACAATTTAGTAAAATGCGTTAAGTGTAAGTATGCATATCTGTTTCAGCTCTATATCTGCTGGAAGATAGATAAATTGATGGGTATTTGATAGTCCGCTAATGCCAGATGGAAACAAGTGAAAGTGCTCAAGTCGCTATGGCCCTGAAGCGCCCTGAAGCGCTCGAAGAACTGATATTCCCATAATTCAAAACATCTTTTATGAATACACAAGAAACTAGACAGGGAAATGCGTCTGGATTTAGAGCTAGTATCCAAAATATATAAACAAAATCACAATTATAGAAGCTAGACAGATTTTCCGATATGAGGATTCTTATCAACGATCTGCAATATTTATTATTCACCTCCAGCTGCAAAAAAGGAATGAAAAACACGCCAGGACTTATCATATTTATAGTATATTTAATCTTAACTACAATTTATTATATTTTTGCCTTTAGTTCATTACAATTTTCCGAGTTTTCTCTGTTCATCTCTTTAGCTTTACGAGCATTAATAAAAAAAATTTCGTTTTATAATGAAGATTGTATAAATTATTTGGCCTTGACAACCGATTTACTTTGTTGTTGTTTTTTTTTATTATATATATTTTTTTATTTTTTATTTATTGATTTTTTTATAGTTTTTTTTTTTATTCCATTTATCTAATAATAATTTTCTAGCCGTTTAAATAGGTAATAAATACATAGGGCCAAATTCACATAGATCAGCTATACGGATTTTCGGAATCAAATGAACGATGAGTATGCCAAAAAGTAGACCAAATCCAAATAGAGATATATGTACAACTGCTCTATGTGAATTTAGATGTAGATGAAAATGAAAGTTTTCGATAATTTTCAACTGAAATTCGAAATACATTGCTTGAATTTTGTTTCTACAAATTTTAAGCGATTCTCTCAATGGTTTCGCATAGAGTTAGATATAGATAAGATTCTTATACAGATTAAGATAAGTTAAATAAATAAATAAATAAGTGTCCCCTAACATTAAGCATGTGCGTTGATGATCTATTTAGAAGTACGATTCCATCGGGCAAAAAACTCTACTTTGTATTTGTATTTTCTTTTTTTTTCCGTTATTGCTATTGCAAATTTTACGACTAAATGCACCCAATAAAAAAAATACACATAAATAAATAAATAAATTTATGCAGCACCAAAAAAAAAAAAAATTGTTTTGTGTGAGGAGCGGAACATCGAATGCAACACTCTGGAGTTGTATCAACTGATTGGGATTTTAGTAGTGCCTAGCTGAGATGAGGGCGACGAGTGTTCCATTCCATACTGTTTCATTAGCTTGTTTCAGTCAATTCGTATTCAGTTACAGTTCATTTCAGCTAACTAACACATGTGGAAGTGAACTTGGCCGCGTTTCATTCCATTTCGTTCCGCTCAAACTTCATACGAACTAGTTCTTTGTCGTCTCTCTCGCTTTCAATTGTGGCAACCTAATGGAGGACTAAATGAAGCCTGTTCCATTCCATACGGTTTCAGCACTTTGTGACCAGCTATAAAATTGAATACAGACATGTTCTATTCCATATTCCATTTGCTTTCACAACACTCCATGTGTTCTACTCAAGGCAAGGCAACGTATCAATCAAAGCGTAAATCGATGCATGTTCCATTTCACATCGTTTCTTCGTTCTTAGAACTAAATGTGTGTGCGAATTTCTTTTGTTTTTGTGGACCTGTTACAAGCCTTCGACTGATATCGATTGCTTGTTCCATTCCATTTTGTTTTTGTCTTTTTACTAGATTTCTGGCTACTCTCTCACTCTATCTCTCTCTATCTCTTACTCTTTCTTTGCTTCTAAGTGTGCTGAATTGGAGTTCGAATCAGGCGCAGGTGCAAAACCTGCCAGTCAATTGGGCATTTCTCTTTGTGTTTACACAAAAAAAAAAATACAAAAAAAAAAAATAAATTATTTAATTAATTACGTTTTGGGATACGATCTAGGGTATAGCAAGGAAGGGGGCAAGGATGTGTGGGGGGGCTGTGTCTTGGTCTCTGATCGCAATCGGCTCACTGCACCGTTTCATGGCCAGCAACGGGTGTGGGCAACGGTTGCTGCTGCTGCTGCTGCTGTTGTTGTTGCTGCTGCTGCTGTTGCTGCTGTTGCTGTTGCAGGTGTCGCAAGCGGAAGAGTCGCAACGTCATCCAGGAGGCCAGGGTGCCCGGCACCGGCATGGGCGTGTGCTTTTCGAGCGCCTCCTTCTGCAGCTGATAGCGATAGAGCAGCGAGCCGGCAATCAGCGCCGAGACAATGGTCGCCGAGATGACCACAATGAAGAGTATGCTGAAGCCCGGCACCGGCATGCAGATGCCATAGACGACCTCCTCGCTGATCTTGCCCTGAAAGACGGTGACCGCCTCCTGCTTGGAGTCCGGCGAAAAGGCCAGATCCGCCTCGGAGATGACGTCGTACAGCCCGCTGACTCCGACATCGGCGCTGCGCACCTTGCGATCGGAGATGACCAGCGATCGACGACGTCGGCGACGCCGCTGACTGTCCGACGGCGACGCTGTCGTTGTGGACTCCGCGGAGCTGTTGGCCATCGGCTCGTCCAGATCGATGTGATCCTCGCGCGGCTGCTTCAGCGCTTCGGCTTGCGGCCGGTAAACGGGGCGCGGCACATCGTCCAGCTCCGATTTGGGCTCCAGGGAGCGTGGCCCGGCCATGGGCACGCCCATGCGTTTCTGCGCCTCCAGCTGGCGTGGTCCGTGCGGGAATTTGCCGCTCTTCTTCAAGCCCAAATACCGTTCACCGTCGCCATCCAGATCGTCGTCGCCAAACAAATCGGAGAGATCGACCTCCTCGTCGGGATCCTCGTGCACGGGCCGTGGCTGCAGGCTGCCGCTCTTCTCCTCGTAGAGATCTGGGCCAGGTCCGCCCATGTTCTGCTTGTGATCGTGTATGATGTCATCGTAGAAGATGTCATGGTCCATGCCCATCGATGAGCCCATGCCCATGCCCAGGCCATGGTGTATCTGGCTCTGCGAGCCATGGCCCATGCCAGCCGGCGGCATGGCCAGATCCCTGTGCAGATCGTTGTTGCTGCTGCTGCCCATCGCATCCCCAATGTGCACATCCTTGCGCTCGTGGGCATTGCTAATGGCCGGGCCCAGTCCATCGCCGGCGGCCGTGTTCTGACAGTGATCCAGGCACCCATGCCGGCAGATCTCCACCTTGCACTTGATGTGCACGCTGAGCGCATCCGGGAACTTGAAGGCATGGAAGAAGGCATACGTAATCACCGTTGCCCGCTCGTCGGGTGCGCGCGCCTTCAGGAAGCGCGAAATCATCTTGGGACGCAGCACACAGCCAAACTCGTCCGACAAATTGATCACGTGTCCCGATCCGTCCGAGGCGACGCAAGACTTGACGCGCATATCGAATTCACCTGCCGAATGAGAGAGAGAGAGAGAGGGAGAGATTGATTGACTGCTCGATTGATTGATTGACTGATTGAATGGCGCACTTACCGCGATAGTCATTGATGGCCACGACCAGGGTGAGCGTCGATCCTAGGGGGACTATCCCGCTCACCGGCGGCGCCCAGGGTCCCTTGCCATGCTGTATCTCCATCCAGCAATCGACATTATCGCCTGCGCGGAGGAGAGCAGAGGATATTATATACTTGTTATTACTTTAGTTTTTTCTTTTGGGGTCAGCTAATTGAAAAAGGCAAGCACAGGCGGCCATGCACGGCGCACAGATACCCTGTAATGTTAGGATTGATTTGTAGGTCCAAAGTCTGGGCAGTGTCTGAGCTGCATCAGATAGTTAGAGCTCTTATATAGCTCGCGTGGCTCCTAAACTACGCGGAAAGTGCTTAGTGTGTAAGCTTTGTGTAATCGATATTTATCGATTAGCTAACGTTTTAGTAAACTTTACTTTTATACATATATTTTTATTCTCAGGCTTGAAACATTCAGATTCTATAAGTATTTAATATATATTTTAAATGTATACCGAGCGATCTAGTCTGAGCTCGATATTTATCGATTGTCTAACACTTAAATAATTATCGGTATATTTTTTTATACAACTATATACGTACAGCGCTTATAAGTTTTCGGTATACATTTAAAATTGAAATAAAACAATCCGTTTTGAAATCGATATTTATCGATTATCTAACATTTGAATTCGTATCATTATAATCTCATTTTTATGCCATGTATTATATATAGCTTATATGCATTTTTAACATATATATTCAAAATTCAAATAAAGCTATCTGGCAAGAAATCGATATTTATCGATCTTCCAAATATCGTGTGATTAATTTACTTGTTCATAAAAATATGAAAATGTGTAAAAGGTTTTCAACTAAATATCTAACTAACTAAATATGCATCGATATATATCGATATTTAAGAAATTTAATGAAAATAATGAAACAAATATATATCCATATATATATACATATATCGAATGAAAAGCTGTTACTAACTGAAATGTAGAGCAATTAAGAGACTTGCGCTTGCATACAGACCAAGTCTGCCTGGTCTGCCTCAGCCTTTCGCCCTCCTTGACCACATTTCACTGGGAAGCAATAAAGAAGAGAAAAGCAACGGCCAAGGGCCCAGGTTACTTACCGCGAAAGTCAAGCTGTATTACATCCAAATCGGCAATTACCATTGGGGGCTTGGAGGCGGTCTTCTCATAGTCGTTGAACCACTCGCAGCGCAAGCGCTTCGCCTCGTCCCAGACCTCCAGCAGATCCTTGTCATACTGCACGACTACCTGCGGTCACAATATGCCATTTAGCGGTTAGCGATTTAGTGGGTTAAGTAAATGGGGCCCCAACTGCCAGAGCCCCCGAGCAGGTGAATGCCCAGCACGTTGGGGACGTGGGAAAGCGCTCGACGTTTAGCGATCGCTAATCGGTGATCGGTTATGCGGTGCAGCTCAGTGTGATCAATGCTCCCATGGGCTTTGCTTTTCGCATACGGATCGTACGCTATCTGTATGATGATCATTCACATTCGGGCTCCATGGGAATATTCATTAGGGCGCTCTGTTTGCTGATCGCCGTTCACAATTAACAATCCCTTTGCTTTGCCCTGCGTTCATTTGTTCATATTCATGCTGGCTTTTCATGTCAGTATGTCACACTCTCTCAACTAATAATAAAGCTGATCATTAAGCTAATTGTAATTGCAATGATCCTGGTTTACACAAGACGGGCTACAATCAATGCATGATCAGTCATTTATGTGATTCATCTATTGTATGAGTAGTATTATGATCACTCTGTTCAACCCTCAGTACTCCTATGTATATAGGGCTAATGCTCATTGAAGCTGGATAGCAGAAACTTTGACAAGAGTGAAATTGTATCAAGATCTGTATTAATATCATTATTGATCAGTTTGCTAGTGCCCTTTGATCACTCTGCTCAGATCATTTATCGATCCACCGTTTCACCTTCACCTTTCAGTTCACTTTCCCACATCCCCTCGTATTCTCCACTTACCGTATTCTCATAGAACTGGCCATTGAGATCCGGCTTGGTGCCGCAGCGTGAGTACGAGATGCGGAACGAGAAGAACGTCTTGCCCGTCGACGGCGGCACATAGACACAACGTGGATCACTGTGCTGTCCTGCTCAATACCAAATACAGGATTGTAAATAAAATCGTTATCTTTTTGGGTTTAGGTCTGGGCTTACGCACCTTTGGAGCTGACAATGCCTTCGAAGGGATTGGAGAACGTCAAATGGACATCCATGTGATCCTTACCGCACATGACCTCCAGTGAAACTATGTTTGGCATACCATCTGGCCGATCCATGGGCCACAGTTCATTACCAGCTATGACTAAACTAAACTGTAAATGGAGAGGTAAAGATTAGAGATTAAAGATTAGCTATCGATATTGTTATGTGAATGAAAAGCTTTTATGGGAAAGCTCTTGATGATTTAACAGACATTTAAGAGAGAGAGAGATTTAACTAATAAGTTCTGATGGAGTGTGGACTAAAACAGAGCTTAAGGTAGATGTTTGAGTGTCTATTGCCATACTAATCAAATATGCTTTCCGTACTTGGTTTCTACATTCCACAAGTCTATTTCTTACATACTCTAACTGTCAGTTCTACTTACACCAAGTGTGCTTCGACTGTCTGACAAAGAAGTTTTGGCGACTCTTCAACCTAAACATATCATCATATCATGAAATATACTCAACGACAAATTTTCGACCTCTACATAAAAGGGTTCCAGGACCCTTCTAATGGTGTTTCACATACTAAAATTAACGAAATAATTCCAAAACTCGCTTCTATAATGAGACGTCTTCTTGTACAGAAGGTCATTGAGCGCCTTGCAAAGAATTTTCTGGGTGCGTTTTAAGAGAGATAGATAAAACGCTATTGAGAGAGAGAGAGCGCTAGAGCAAGACAGATAGAAAGAGAGCTAAAGAAAGAGACAGAGAGAGGGAGTGGAAGAGATAGATAGATAGATAGATAGATAGATAGATAGATAGATAGATAGAGCTATAGAGAGAGCAAGACAAAGAAAGGGAGTTAAAGAGAAGGAGTGAAAGAGAAAAATCGAGAGTGTGTGAGAGAGAGAGAAGATTGTCTTGCTATATTGTAGCCTTAACATCCAGAATAAAGCATCAGCTTTCTAGAATCTCAAGGAGTCTTTAGCCACCTCATAGAGTAACTCTTCGAGCCATCTTAAGCTGCATCAAAAGAGTTTCTAATCTGAAGCGCAGACAAAGTCTGAGCTGAGGGCGCTGCTGATGGTTAGCGAGATATTTGAGTTATTTCTTAACTGGTTTCGCTTTGCTACACATTTGGCCAAGTGTGAGAATCGCTATCAAAGCCTTAAAATAGCTTGGCTACAGTTGGCGGCGTGTTAATTGACTTTTGTGGATGTAATTTATTATGATTATTATATTCGACTTCTTCTTCGTCTTTAGCTTCTGTTCGTTTCTCTCTCTCTCTCTCTCTCTGTCTCGCTTTCTCTCTCTCTCTCTCTCTCATTGTTGAGCAGTTTTCTAGGTTCGTGCATTTGTAGATCTTAACTGATGAGACTGACAACCAGATATGTAGACCGTTATAATTTCTAATTAACGCGATTCCCACTGGCAAAACTTGACACCTGTTGCTGCTGCCACCTGCTAGCAACAGGTAACAGCCAGTAACCTGCAACCTGCCGCTTGCAACTTGCAACTTGCAACTGGAACTGGAATGACTTTGGCTTTGGCTTTGGCTTTGCTTTTGGCATGGCATTTGCTGTGCACTTGACTTTGGCTCTGGTTAAATCTGTGCATGGAGTTGCCAGCGTTGCCAGAGTGTTTCGTTTTTCGAGGGCGTTAACCCCGCACCCCACTCAGTCGACGGCCTTGCAGATCGCCAATCGATTTATTGTTATTCATATTCGATCCATATGGCATACATAGATTTATTTTTAATTACATCCCGCCAAACATGTTGCCAATAAAAACGAAATGCAGCGAGCCAAGTTTCCGCTGCGCATTGAGAAAGCAAATTCCAGCAGCCGGAGCAGCCGGAGCAGCTGCCTCTGCCTATATTTGCATACTTGCCCCAAGAGCCTGCCACATGGCGAGCGCCGAGCTCCTAGACGACGAGATCTTTGCCTGAGTTGGCTTTAATTGAACGGCAAATGGAATTTCTAGCTGCACTTGCAGTAAAAGTTGATCCCCACACACACAGCAGCAACATTCAAAAATGCCACGCCTACTTTTGCAGGCAGCCCAGCCTGACTGACAGCTGTGCTGGGGCAGAGACGGTGCCAAATTGTCTGCACTTACACTGGCCCGCCGCACCGATGCCAGACGAGAGCATCCTCTGAGTCGCAGTCAGGGAGTATTCAGCATCCAAGTTTATTATTGACTTGAATCAAAGATTCCGAAATACTCCCAGAAAATGTTTATTTGAGAGGATCTAGAAGAGCTACAGAGCTCTATGTAAATATATGTATTTAAGTAAAGCTGTGTAGTACAACGTAATACATTTTTATACCCTGAACCCATTGAAAATGGGAAATCAGGGTATAATGGTT